TTGTATTGCTTTTTCTTTTGATCTCCATGCTTGCATGTAGCTTAAGTCCATACCATATGCTTTTTGGATGTCTCTCTGGATATCTGTTGGTGTATATATAGTTTTCGGGTCAACAAGTTTATCTTGTATCACAGCTGCAATAAAAGTTGAGATAACTTGCTTTTGTGAACAAAATCTCTTATCATTTAAACAACTGTGGACAGAATTGAAATCTGTCACTTTGAAAATATTTGATGCTCGTAGGTTTGATGCTTTAAGTTTCCAAGTGCACCTTTCATCCACGCAATCAAAGGTATACTTATTTATAATACAAATATAGTTATGTATCATGTTTTATTGATAAAAACACACACACAAATCAGTACAATTATATACTCACATAGTATACTCATATAGCATACTTATATACTATACGAGTATCATCTTTTACTGATAAAAAGACACAGATAAATCAGTAAAATTCTATACTCACATAGTATATTGATTTAGCATACATATATACTATATCGGTATCATGTTTTACAGATAAAAAACACATACTCAAACGAGTACAATTCTATACTCACATAGTATACTCATATAGCATACTTATATACTATATCAGTATCATCTTTTACTGATAAAAAACGCAGACAAACCAGTACAATTCTACACTCACATAGTATATTGATTTAGCATACATATATACTATAACGGTATCATGGTTTACTGATAAAAAATACACATACATACCAGTATAATTCTATACTCACATAGTATACTCATATAGAATCCTGATATACTATATCAGTATCATCTCTTACTGATAAAAAATATAGACAAACCAGTACAATTCTATACTCACATAGTATACTGATTTAGCATCCATATATACTATATCGATATCATATTTTACTGATAAAAAACACATACACAAATCAGTACAATTCTATACTCACATAGTATACTCATATAGAATCCTGATATACTATATAGGTATCACATAGTTTTTTATTACTTGAAAAAAGGCAGACGAACCTTCTTGGGCATGATTTATTAACACGATATTGACATTTTTCTCTAACGGCATCTTGTTTCATAACAAGAGCCACCAGGTTCTTGTCTTTGTAAATTTGTCCTTTTTTAACTTTTTGATGAAATTGATTAGTTATGATATTTTCATCATCAAGTTCTATACCAGTGTCATCTCCCTCTTGCACGTCAAAAGTACTAATCATATTACTGCTTTCAAATTGTGCAATTTCTGATGAAATTGTAGTAACGTCGAAACTGGAGGTACTTGCGGCTATAGTATTTTTAGCAAACGACACACATAGTGGGAGTGTTATCATCCATGCACTTGATTTTTTCAATTTCATGTAAACACTAACACTCATATCGCTGCAAATTATAATTGGTGGATATCCTTGAGCAATAGCATACTGAATAACTATTGTGTTACTGTCCTTTTGCAGTTGCTTTGCAATATTTTTGAGAAGTTGTTCAAATTTCCAACAGGTCTTTATTAGAATTGCATCAACATGAAAGTTTATGAAATTATGGTTATCATCCCATTCTCCACTATGTTGCAGCAGAATTGGTATATTTTTCATGATTATACATATCTGAAGTTATAACTACTTTTATGTACAAAATCGAATCTCGACAGTGCAAATTTCAACAGTGTTGACGTCAAATACTGAATTTCAACAGAATATTTTTCGAGCTCAGATCAGCTGTTATGATTCAAACCTCCTAATCTCCAGATCTTCAAACTAAGAACAGAATTTTCAGTTACAAATTCAGAAGTTTGAGCGCTAAACTTTTGTAATCTACGAAATCAAAAATCGGAACAATACGATGCGAATTTGAGCATCAAAAGTTTCAGTATCTTCGAAAGTCAAATCAACTGCTATGATTCTAACAGATTGATACTTCTACAAAATTTAAGGAGAAAAGTCAAATTTGAAAGAGAAATCAGCATCTTCGCTCTGTTTTTTCAGGCTTGCGATCTTCAAATCTTCAATAACGATTCTGTGATGCTGGTGGAAATCTCAATTTTTGTGCGCTAATTTTTGTGAAATTCTGCTAAATTTGAGCAGCTTTTTCGTTTTTATATGTAGGGTATTAGCGTGGGTAGTTATTTTGAGATACTCTATTTGTTTATTAAATGAGTAGGGGGTTGTAATTATTTAATGGATAAAATTCTTTTATGGGTAGAGCAGGGTAAATATTTTCACTTTTATAGGTAGTCCTGTCTTTTTCCCAAATTTTTGTGCAATGTGACTTCCACTTATGATTACAGGCTGACTTCCGCGCTGGACCTAAATCTGATCCAACATATCAGAGAATTTAATGGGCCCGTTTTGCGTCCTATGGCCCAGCTACTTGGGCAGGAGAACAGGCTTGATGGAAAGAGAAATAGTCAAATATTCTTGCTGGTAATAAAATACGGAGATCGTTATTGGAAAACAATAGGGGAGTACATCGCTTGTTAAGCCGTAGCTAATAATATTGGAGCAGTTATACAGGAATTGTGTAATAAATTCAAGAACTAGCTCTTGTACATATATATTGTTAGTACGTACCACATACTTTTATTTTGGATATGTTTTGTTCCACAAATTAATGCATCTGTTGCGGCATAAGTTAATCATGCATTACTTATATATTAATTTTTTACGTAAATGATTTAGGAGTAAAAGCTACATATAAGAACTAAAACGCTAAACAAATTAACCGTTCAAGTTAAAATTTACTAATGTATTTCGAAATCTAGACTTTTGTTGTTATTTTTGCTGTAACTTTATTGGAATGACTTCTATGGCTAATAGTGTATAATCAGAAGAGTACTCGTGGTGTTTGGTGTAAAATAAGGTTAATTTTATATATGATCATTGATTTTATCCACTATAACAGTAAAGTCATGGAACTAAATTTTCTCACACTTAAGTAACTGAGCTTGACTCACAAATCATCCCCAAGAAAAAAAGTTTCGAGTACCTTGGGTCAATTATCCAAGGGGATGGGGGAGATCGACGAGGATGTCACGCACCGTGTAAGGGTGGGATGGATGAACACTACTAAAAATTCGCCAAAAACTGACAAAGGTCGACCGACCAACTTTATTTTTAAATAATTTGGTTTTTCAAAATAATTTATTTTTAAATATTTTTTTATGAAACCGACCAACTTTGGTCGGTTTTCTTTGGCGCAAAAATGCGGGAAACTATATTTTTGTCCCGCGAAATTTATTTTTCAAGAAACCGACTAACTTTGGTCGGTTTTTCAATTAAAATAAATAAAAATTAATATTAAAAAAACCGACCAAAATTGGTCGGTTAATTCGGCCGGTCATTTAAAAAAACCGACCAACTTTGGTCGGTAATTTTACTTTTTAATAAAACCGACCAACTTTGATCGGTTATTTTCATGCGAAAATACAATTAAAGAGTATAAATCAAATAAAAGACAGTCTTAAAACAAAATGCACCAATGGTCTAGTGGTAGAATAGTATCCTGCCACAGTACAGACCCCGGTTCGATTCCCAAATGGTGAATCTTTTGATTACATAATTAAAATATCGACCAACTTTGGTCGATTTTTTTTTTTCAATATATTTTTTTTGAATTTAATTGATCAACCAAAGTTGGTCGGTAATTTCTCACCAACTTTGGTCGGTATTCCTTTCCGACCCCTAAAATACTGTCCACACGTAAATGGTTGCGTTTTGATAGGTTATTAGCCATTACCGACCTACTTTGATCGGTTTTTTTGTCGGTTTTTACCGGATTTTTAGTAGTGAAAATGGAGGTCAGCATCTGGAGTCCTGTGTGACAAGAATGTACCACCAGAACTTAAAGGTAAATTCTATATATCAGTTGTTAGACCAGCCATATTGTATGGGGCTAAGTATTGGTCAATCAAGAAGTCATATATCCAGAAGTTGGAAGTAGCAGAAATGAGGATGTTGAGATGGATGTGCGGGCACACTAGGCTGGATAGGATTATGATTGAGGATATTCGGAAGAAGGTGGGCATTGTTCCCATGGATGACAAGATGAGGGAAGCAAGGCTCAGATGGTTTGGGCATGTACGAAGGAGAAGCCTAGATGCCCCGGTTAGGAGGTGTGAGCGGTTGGCTTTGGTAGGCATGAGAAGCGGTAGAGGGCGGCCTAAGAAGTATTGGGGTGAGGTGATCAGGCAGGACATGACGCGACTTCAGATCTCCGAGGACATGGCTCTTGGTAGGAAGGTATGGAGGTCGAGCATTAGGGTTGAAGGGTAGGGGTAGTCGAGCATTTTTCTACTTTATACCAGGGGTGGAGCGAGTCTGATAGTGTTTTGTCTTGAACTGCTAGTGGCATATGTTGTGTTCACACAATTTTTCTGTTTTCATAGTATTGTGTAATGAGTATCGGTTTTTGTTATTGCCTTTCCACCTATTTTATGTCTCTTACAATATTGATATTCTCTCTGGTTGTTGCTGGTAATGATCTACTGTCTCTGTTTGTCTTTTGAGCCGAGGGTCTCCCGGAAACAACATCTCTGCTCCTTCAGGGTAGGGGTAAAGTTTGCGTACACTCTACCCTCCCCAAATCTCACTTCTGGGATTTTATTGGGTTGTTGTTGTTTAAGAACTTTATCCACCATGATAATAAAGTCGCATAACTATTTTTTGGATTCTATGACTTAAATGTGTAGTGGGTAAAATTTAATTTAATTTTTTTTAATGTGACCAAAAAGAAAATTCATGACTTTACTGTCATATGGGGTAACTTTAATGCGCCAAAAAATAATTTTATAATTTTACTGTTATAGCAAGTAAGTTCCACGACGATACTTGAAATTAACTCTGTAAAAATACTTCCTAGCTAGTGGGTAATCAGATTGAATGAGGGAAGGTCGTACTCGCTAGTCACGACACTACCTTCCAAAGTTGCCTAGACGAAATGGCTTAAGTACTTCTCAGAAAGTAAACGGCCAACGGCATTATATTCTGTTTTTGTGTTGAGACAGAAAGAAAGAGTAAATTCAAAGAGAAGAAAAGTTGGGTTATCACATTACATAACTATCATGACGAACTCCCTAATTCACTTTTAAAAATAATAATAACAAATTTTCTTTTGAACTAGCACTATTCTTACTAATCCATCACTAGTCTTGAAATTAATCAACGCTCTCCAGATCTGGAGGAAAAATAAGCCTTCTCCCATCTTACTCATTATAACTTCAATTGGAATGCAAGATAGCTATTACCAACAAGTTTAGTTCTCAAACAGAACCATCCTACAAGGAAAATGCAGCTTCATAATAAAGCTCTTGACTTTTGAGCTTTTCCTTTTTCAATAAGTTAATCTCTCGTGGAAATGCTGCCAGCTCTGTCATAAAGAAATAACTTAACAAATTGCAACTGAAGACACCAGTCAAAAATAAGTGTATTGCAAGATTAAACTATTACTCCCTATATTCAACAGAAATGTTTAGACGAGTGTCTGTAATGCATGCACATAAAGTTAGATATACATATTTTAGAACCTGCACTGTCAATTCAAAATATATATTGTTAAAATCCTGGATTCGTCAAAATCTACTCACAACTCTTATATGGCTGACTGACCATATTTAGGCCTTTGTTAAATTAAGCTCCAGAAAAGATGGTATTGAGAGGAGCAAGTGTGCTGAGGCCAACAAAAATAAGCCCACAGCTGAGCAAGAAAGCTTAAATAAGGGAATCAATTGACTTCTGGCTTCTTCAATGACAAAACAAAGGGAAAACAACTAGTCTTGGGAAGAAGTCACATTAATAATAGAGACAATAAAAGACTTTGATCTAAACTTGAATGTCCCAAAACTTAAAAAGTGGATGATTAACTAGCAAAAATGTAAGTATGTGCTTGCAACATGCCAAAATTAGAAGGAAATGTGAGGTCAACTGATTAGAAAGAATGCAAGTCTGACATCTGCAGACAGCCTTGACAATAGCAAAAAGAGCATGAATCGGGCATACCAGCAAATGTCATTCTCGTTTATAACCTACCAAGACATGAATCGAGCGTGCTCATGCTCATCGTCCTCATCATCAACTGGAGCAGGAAGATTAAGATCAAGTAAATCAGCAACTTCTCGCTTGACTGCTGAAGATTGATTCAAATTCTCCTCATTGACACTAGCATGAATAAAATGTGACCTTTTGTGGCCTCCTAAAGCTTGGCCTGACTTGAATATCCTAGGGCAAAACGGGCATTTGTGTCCTTTGGATTTCTTTGGTTTAACCTTTTTCTCAGGTTCATAAGGCACATCTTGAGTAGAAACTGCTGGTTTTTTGTTGCTAAAAGTTTCCTTATGCTTGCCAATGTTTATGTATTTAGGATCATTATCAGCACCAAGGCTATTCTCACCAGTTTCATATGTAGATTCAGAATAGTCATTGATTTTTTTATGGCAAGGTCTGTGTCCACCTAGAGCTTGATAAGAACTAAAGGTCTTCTTGCAGTTCAAGCACTCATACTTTCTCTTCTTATGAATATTCTTATAACGATCCGTTGTTCCCTTTCTTGATTCACATTTATCAAAATTTGAGGCTAATCCATAACCATCATGTTCATATTTCTTGCTCAAATCCTTCCTTGACTCTGTTAGATATCTTTTGATTCTGTTTAAGCTCTTTTTCTCATCATGCCTACGCTCGTCTAACCAAGCTCCAAGGCTCATTTTAGAGCTACTCCATTTGCAATTACCATTTCCTCTGAACCTTTCAACAGAGCCATCTGAATCGACTTTTCCATTTTCGCCTAAGAAGTAGTCTGAATCAGAGTTCTCAGATTGAGTTTCAGCTTCCAATATATCGCGTTTCAGGTCTCTATCTTCCTTTTTCTTAGTTTGAGGTTTCTCATCTTGATTATAAGCACGTTTAAGAGTGTTGTTTCTAGCATTTCTCATGTCATTAGATGATGATTTGGTCTCTAAAACAACAGAATTGTTATCAGAAGACTCCACAACTATATTGACACCATTCCAAATCCCAGAATCCCTTGACAACATCATCAAACACTTGGCTACTTCTTCTTGTTCTTGCTCATGATCAATCTCAGACACAGACGACGAACAATTATAATTATTATTAACCTTGCAAATAGAAGATTTAACTATAATCTTTTTGTACCTCTTAGTCTTTGATCTGCACTTTGGACTAAACAGCTCCTCAGCTTCAGTATCAGAATTGCTCTCACTAGTCCATGAGTTATCATCTTTCAAGTTCAAACACCCTTTATCTTTTTCTGAGTGACAAGCCATATGGCCACATAAGGCTTTTAGTGATTGAAACACTTTCCCACATTGCTGACAAACTTTTTCTTGAGGCAAAGGGAAGTTAGAATCCTCAGCCCTCCAAGTTTTCTTTGGATTCTCTCTTAGGCCATAACTAGAAACCCCACCAAGTTCTAACTTTGATTGATTCTCTCTTTTGAAATTCTTCCCATTAATATTACTCCAAGATTGCACCTTTTTCAATTTAGCTTCAAAATTTTCCTCAAATTCAGCTGAATTTGCCAGTACATGAGACCTCATGTGACCCCCAAGTGACTTCCCACATGGATATCTCTTGTTACACAACTTGCACACAAACTTCATAACTTGATCTTCTTCCATTGAGTAACTAATAACTTGCTATTCACCAAATAAAATTCAAACAAACCAAGAAGTAAAATTAAGATCAGTTGAATAAATTAGATGTCTATATCATGCGACTGTCACATTCCATGATCTAGTACAGTAGTATATATCCAGCAGAACCCCAAAAAATACTTCAAAACCAACAGAAGAACCCAAGAATAGCAGAATCCAAGATCAAAGGAAAGAACAGAAAAATATTGTTAAAACTTAAATCTGGCTTATGGGGTTGTGACACAGATCACCAAGTCTCTGGTGGGCTATTGCTCAAGTAATACAAATGGAATTAAACTGGTCAAGTATGATACTACCTTTTAGGAAGTAAAAGATCAGACCCACAGCAAAAGGAGACTCTTTAAATTCCATATTCAAGTAATCTCTTTATCGCACATACAAAAAGAGGAGAGAGAGAGATCTTTTTAATTTTAATATTCAGGATTTCAAGAATCCTATTTGGAAAAATCAAATTTTGAACAGATGGGTCACCAGCAATGGCCATAAAAGTAGCCAATATTCAGGAGATTAAATGAACAAATCACAACAGAAAACCAAAGACTCTTTCCCCCCCCACCCCCCCCAAATTCTCTCTCTCTCTCTCTCTGTTGTAGATGTAGGAGAATTCCATGCATGAAATGTGAGAGAGAGAAATAAAGCCAAAAAAATGGGCAGCACGTGTACTCTTGGGAGGGTTGTTCGTACCTTATAAATTCAACTGTCAAGATCTGCTGGCTACTGTTACATGAGGGTTGAGATTAATTCAGGAAAAGAGTAAACATATCTCTGTTTGAGGCTATTAGAATTTGAGTTTAACCTTCTACACAATCACACTACAAGAATATTATACTTTTAATTGACTTAAAGATAACTATATATAATAGTAAAAACTTTCTTTTTACTTCTTCCTACACTCGTTTCGGGGCGTGACTTCATTCGCATTCGCACCACGTAAGGCTCAATAAATGAGAACCGCTCCCTTGCCAAGATTTTTTTTTATTGCCATGGATATAACACGGGACCTCTAGTTAAGAATCGAGAGATCTTACTTATCCCACCACAATGATTGATGATAATATTTACCTAAAAAATAATACAATAACTTATTATAACAAATTAAATTATATAATAATGTCAAAATATTACACTATTAGTATGTACAAAATAAATCTTTTAAACTTATATATCGGAAGTTAATACTAAGACTTCAATGTTGTTTAATGTTTTAGCATGCATTGATTTGTCTTTTGCTTCTCAGGTCACATACATGAAACGACCGATCTTCCGCCGTTATTGTTCTCTCATTTTCCTCATTTGCCCCTGCCTAATTCTTTAGGGGTCGTTTGGTATGAGGTATAAGTAAAAATAATTCTGGGATAAAAATATAACATCACCTTAATACTTTGTTTGGTTAGCAAATTTGGAATAAGTTATCCCGGAATTAAAATTAATACCGGAATAACTTATACCTTGTAAGGGTGGGGTAATTAGTGTCGGAATAACTTATATCTTCTTCTTAGAAATTATGCAAATATCATTTTTAATACAACATACCAAATAATGGATAAAAAATAATCTCAACATAACTTATCCCACCATAATTTATCTCAGCATAATTTATCTCAGAATAATCTATATTCAAACCAAACGACCCCTTAGAGTATTCATTTCCCCTTTTGCTTTAGTTTGTTTCCATTGATATTTATTCCCACTTTGTTTACTCGGTCAACTCATTTTCCATCGGCAATTTGGTGAATGACTTTTTCTTTTCTTGAGGGGGGAGGGGGGAATTGTTGTGCATATAAATTCCTTAGTCGAGATTTTAAATTAGCATATGCAGATATTGTAACAATGAATAGTTTTTGCCCTTTTCTTTTTAATAGGTCTTATATGTTGTGAATCCAAATTAATTGGGATCGCCTTATAAACACCGAGTAGTAAGCCAAAAACAATTACTCTTTTCTGACTAGTACGTATTAAGTAAAAATATCATTTGCTTTCACATTATATTAGCTATTTTGATTATATTAATTAAGTTGAAGTTCAATGTATGGGGGCTTTACCAATTTGGGGCACTTATAAGAGATTTGTTACCCATTTGTAGCTGGGCGCATTAAATATTTCATTCCGTACTTTTATATCATTCCTCACAAATTTTAACTTTTAAAGTTTTATGTTAAGACATATCTATAATGCTAATAGTTTTATTCACTGCATCTTATTTTATTGTAGCTATTAGACAATTTTAATTTCGCAGTGTCAAAATTACTAAACGGATATTATATATCAAAAATGGAGAATATTGTAAAACACAATTACTCCTTTCATTTCAATTAGACTTAGTTTGACTCGGCATTATGTCTCGGACCAATAATAAAGTTATTTTTGTGTGACCTATAGATCATGGGTTCAAGCCATAGAATCAGTCATTGATGCTTGCATCAAGGTAGGCTGCCTACATCGCACCCCTTAGGGTGTGGCCCTTTCCTGGACGGTCGAACCCTGTGTGAAAGTGGGATTCTTCGTACACCGGGCTGCTATTTTTTTAGTCTGACTCGGCATGGAGTTTAACCCAAAAAAAAACATATGAAACTTGTGATTTTAAAAGTTTAAAGGGTAAAAACTTTTGTGAGGCTTTCAATTTGTATGATTGTAAAAACTTCTCATTTAGTGTAAAATTGATAAAAGAAAAAATTAAAGTTAAGTTATTTTTAAATATAAAAATATATTAATTTTTTTAAAACTGATTAACAAAAATAATGTGTCAACTAAATTAAAACATTTGGAATATATGTTTCTTTAGATGGAAGGGAAACTTCATTAATTATTGACTAAGAAAACAATGGTAAATATCCAAACCCCTTTTTGCACTGTCAAGACACCTTTCTAAAAAGATCTGATATGGTTCTTGCATTATTATCCTCAGTGTGACTGTCAGTATGTGTCATTATGATTTCATTGGAATTAAGGAGAGGTAGCACAATTGGTAACAGCAGTTAGTTACTCCTATGCCGTTACAAATAAAAATTCCGAACAAATACTTTAACGGATTTTTACCTTTCAATACACTATATGAAATCTTATTACCCTCCATACTTAAGTTTTAATTTAATTATATAGACATATATAATTTATCAATTATATATATTTTAGGAATTAAATGAGATATTCCCTCCTCACGTTTCTCCTTTAATCACACTAAAACGTATCTAAAGTACATATCTCCCCCCCCCCCC